TAATAAAAAATAAATATTTTCTGTCACGTAATAAAATCAATAATCTTTGTTTCTTTTCTTTATTTATAATTTTGGTTTGAGGGCAGCAAAACAACATGATATATAACTCAATTATTTCTGCCACTGCAGAGGTAAGAGTGGTGCTATTAATTAGGACAACTTTTTCATCTCATATTTTGATACAATTTTCACATGTTATTAAATGAATGAATGCATTTAATATCACGAGTTTCATATAAATAAAAAAAATTAATTATTTTAATGATACGTCATATTGTATCAAAAAGTATGATGAAAAGGTTATTTCAAAATCATTTTCCAGAGGTGTGTAACCACGAGCAATTGTTGATGTCTTCGGTATTCTTCCTAATTTGGTCTTTGTTCCCTTTAAACTCAGGTGAAGAAACAATTAACTCGACTAAGGGTTTATACCATGGAAATTCATCCCTAGCAAAAAGTTGGCGACAACACTTTCTTGAGGGATAGTCCGAATCGTGGTCCATTTTTGTAAGTGTAAATATAATTCTCCAAGTAGATTTAGCACACTCTTCAGTCGCATACTTCAAGCCTCTTTGCATAAACAACTCTCTTGCCGCTGATAGATTTGGTGGTTCTGCGAGGGAATCAACATTCGGGATTGCACTCGCCGGAGCTGGAGCTAGTTGAGATGATGCCATCGTGATAGCCAACAAGAGCACCACCATGGCAGCCAAGATGCTATGCTTCTGCACTGCCATTGGTGGGATCTCTTGATTTGTGGCTGGCTAGCTAGGGAAGGAAATTATGGAGGCGAGTTGGTATGTCAGAGAAAAGAGAGTATTTATACAAATGTTTTTTCTAATTGTTAGGGTGTTTTGGAGTCGGTTTCTACTAAATCACAATTTATTGAATCATTTATTGTCCTAGGAGGCTTAGTAAACTGTTCATCTATCTCTATTTTTGCGTTGAATCTTTTTTTAATTGACCTTTATTTTTATTTGGGGGTTTCTTTCAATTCTTGAAGTATTTAGTATGAACAATTAAAATTTAAATATTCAATCATTTTTAACTTAGTTGGCCTACTTATTAAATTTGGAGTAATTGAGAGGCCACCCTGCTAGCTATGCAAGAAGATCCTCATCCCTCCAGTGCGGTGAAGGCCAAGATTTTAAAATAATCAACTCAAATTTCAAACCTTAAGTTAAATGGTAAGAATATCAGAAAAGGAGCATGCGGAAGAAAATCAAGATTTCTTAGTATTAAAAATGTCAAAATTTTCAATCAGAACCATTTATTAAGTGGAGCACAATTAGGGATCTACTTAATAAATGGTATTGATAGGATGTTCTGGTATCTTTGATGTCAGAAAGTCCTCATTTTCACCTTTTTTGTGTTGAGAAAAATAGAGAAGTATCTTTTTTTTAAAAAAAGTTATTATTAGATGTAAAAAAAGTTTTATCATTTTTAAGGCACAAATTAAAAACATTTTATATTATAAATGTTTGTAATAAAATATAAAAATTGACATTAATTTTAGTATTGATGCAAAGTGAATTAATTTAATTAGAAAATTAATAAATTAAAAATTAATTTTTTAATGCAAATTTATTACAAAAAGGTGTATTTGTGCATAGGTTAGATAAATCCAAAAAAATGACCATTCGCTAGATTAACATTTTGACAATTAAAATATCATAAAAAATAATAAAAAGTCTTAAATATCTTTAATGAATTAAGAAAATTTTATTAGTATAATAATACTAAAATAATTTTATAGGATATCTAGATTTTCAATTTCTAATGTAATATTGTGCTCTTATTTTACCAAAGAAAAAGACAATTGATGAACAAAAAAGTTATAATCATGTCATGTTGTATTTGAACTTTTAATGTGCGTTCTAATTATTGAAATTATTAAATTGTACTTAATAAATTTTTTTATACTTATTATTTTTTTTTGAATATTTTGACATAAGATGTGTTCGAAACTCACTCAAGTAAGCGGAATACACCGCTTCAATAGCTACTATTATTGGACCTATAAGATCAAGTGCTTTTATACTTATTTATTAAAAATAACTTAATAATTTTATTATTAAGATTGTATTTTTAATATACAATCTAGATTAAAAGTACAATTTGTATTGAAGTACATGAATCCTTGATAAATTGAAGAAACATTAAGAAGCGGTAGGGTTTTAGATTTTGGGAGGAGGGAATTGCAAAATATTAGGGTCCAAAAAGGGGACACAAAAACGCAGCGCCAGCATTCAGCACAACAAAAGAACCTCTGCTTCCCTTTCATGGCGCTCCACTTGAGACTTCCTTATCTTCTTCGTCTCCGCCTGATGGCCTCTCATTCTCGTTTCTTCTCTCAATGTGCTACTCTCAACTTCCCCTCTTCCATCCTTCGCCCCTTTCTCTTCTTCACGCCCAGGTTTCTTTTTTCCCTTCTGTATGCTTCTGGGTCTTGTTTGCTTATTTTCTATTTGGTTCCCGAGAAAACACAGGAAAAAAGGGAGCTTAGAAAATGGGTGTTTTAATTATTTTGTGTTTGCTTAAATATTCAGAACATACTATAGACTGGGTGCTTTTGGGAGGATATATTGAGGAACTTTAGTTACATGCCTTATCATGGCATGTAAGCATTAGCTGCTGCATCCTTAGCTTTCCCTGTCCTCTTCTGCATCTTGGCATAATGAGATTGAGAGTGCATGCTCTAAACTTTGTTGCTATTCAAGGTTCAAACTCCAATGCTAGTTTATAGAAAATTTTCTTCGTGGTATTCTTTTGGAAGAATTAGGCACTTTGTTGTGCTTTTGTTGTGTTTTTATTACTGTTCTTTTAATTGGTTTGACTTGTAAATTGCAGATTCCTACTGACTTGCTCCTGTGACAAAAAAATCTTCCTCGGAGACTGTATTAACGGTATTATTGTGTAATAATTTCCATTTTTACTTTTTATGTAGAGGCTTGCTGCACTGTGTGAGAGTTATCTAGTTTTTTCAGTAGGCATTTTAGATTTTGGTTAAGAGGTTAGTAATTTAAAATTAACAAAATAATCCATCTTATTTGTCTTCACTGTGAATGAAGTTTAATATTCTCATTCTGTCTATGATACAAAACTGCAAATTGATCGGAAACCATGTTTTTTAAGTTCTTAGGATGCTTTTGATTCTGAGGAACCACATCTTTGACTCTCTGGGACTGAGCTTATGGGTGGAGTCACCATTTTATTTCTCACTGTTTTGACCTTTCTAATTCCTTGGAATATCTATGAGACAGAAAATCATGTGTTATAAGTGAGAACGAATTGATGAACACCTTAAGTGAAGTAGATATTCTTCTTTAATGTAATTGTGACAAATAAAGTAATTTTGAAAGTTTTCAAGGAACTTAACAGAAGTTAGCTTTCAAGAAAATGGAATTCAAATTATGGAACAACAGTACTTTGTTCTTTATGGACTTTGAAATTTGAATGATAGAAATTTGAACTAGTTTATCCTCAACTTCTTACTTTACTATAGAAGATTACTTGGGAGCTAAGAGGCTATGGATGTTAACCAATCAGTTTATTATCATTATTACTTACAAGTATTTTTTATCCTGATGCAAGTTATATTTGCTATCATATGGTGCAGGTCTTACATGCTGGTGGCAAGTTTGGTGGTTCAAGCAGTGGGTATAGTGTGTCTGGTGGATTGCACGGTGTGGGTTTATCTGTTGTTAATGCCTCGTCTGAGGTGTGAATTATATTCTAAATTGTGAGGTATACTCTTTCTGTTCATTTGTAGTAGATCTAATTTGATTTTTTGACTTTTCAAATATGAATTTCATATGAAAATTTAACAAATTATTTGAATAATAATCAAAAAGTTTTTTCCTTTTATATGAAGTTCTTGTGTACTTTTATTTGAGAAACAAATTTTCAATTATTATTTATATGAGATATTAAATTTTCTTATAAAATTTAGTTTTGAAAAGTCAAAAAGTCATATAATCAAATTGTGCATATGATTAGTTCCTATAGGGAAAGATCAGTTCTCAAAGTTAAGGAAATCATAATGGCTACGAGAGCATAGCTGATATTTTGATATTGGGTCAATATAATCTTGAATTGTCCGTCAATTGGTTATCTTATTTTATCTTTAGATAGTCTCACCTCTTGTGAAATTGTCTTCTCTTTACTCACAGGCATTGGAAGTTACTGTTTGGCGGGATGGAATGGAATACCAGCAAAGATATTCACCTGGAAAGCCTGTAACATCACTAATTTGCAATACTCTTCCTATTGAAGAGGAGGATCATCAAGGGACTTCTATTTGGTTTTGGCCTGACAAAGGAGGTTTCATGGCTATGAAGCCTCTATGCCTCTTATGCTCATAATTTTTTGTTTTCCCCCCCCTCAAATTCTCATAATTGAATTTGATGATAATTTGCAATGTTCACAGCAGCAATAGAGTTTGACTACAACACCATAGCTAGAGACTTGCTTTCCTGAACCCCAAGGTAACTATTTAATTGAAGGGGTATAATTCTAAGCTTCTACCTTGAACTTCACTCTCTTTACTTAACCTTTGCAGCTTACTATTACTTTTAAAAAGGAAGATAGTGATCCAGAGGAGAATGTATACAATGAATACCTCTATGCAGGGGGCTGGATTGGTCGAATATGTGAAATGGCTAAACACTGATAAGGTTTGTTGCTCTTTTCCCTCTCCTTTACAAGTCCTTTTTCAGTTTTATTGCTTGACTAGCCAAGCTTTTCACCTCAACCTAACCTAGGATGCCCAGTTTTTTACATGCTAAGGTGCTGTGCTTGGCCTCTTGGGCACTTGAAGTAGCTATGCAGCTTATGCCAAGAGGGTAGCTACCCATGAAATGGTGTGGTTTTTAGATTTTCTTCTGCACGTTTGTTGCTTCTATCATCAACCCTTTCTGTATTTGATAATTCCTTAGAACTGCAGATGGTGAATGGTAGCCAGTGACTGACGGTTCTTTTCTGCAGAAACCACTTCATGATGTTCTGGGTTTGAGCCAAAAAACAGAAGGGATTGCAATTGATGTAGCTCTCCAATGGTAAGCCATTTACCTCTATATTCACCATTCATAACTGACGTTTATCATGTGTTGAGGATATCATATTCAGAACATTTCCATTACGAGCATCAACTATTTTCTACACTGCTAAATTCATGAGTTATTTCTTGAATAATCCATGTTATATCTGGTTCATCATTTTACTAGGTGTTCAGATGCATACTCAGACACAAT